CCCAGGATGTGTTCCACAAAGTTGAATCAGTTGAAGTGTTGAGCCCATCAGACTTGTTTGGGTGATAGTTTTTGTGGGGTCTTAAGGGCTTCCAGGTTTTTATAGTCGGTCCAGACTTCAAATGGTCTCTGCCCCCTTCCACCAGGTGACACTCTTTTTCCCATGAAGCCCATCATCTCTCTGTGTCCATGAGCTTGTGGGAGGTGTAGGCGCAGGGCTGTAGGCTTCCTCGGTTGTTTTTCTGGAGTAACACTGCTCCCACTGCCACATCACTGGTGGCTGCTTGAATGACGAAGGGTTGTTCGGGGTCAATACTGGTTCTTTTGCAAATAGTTCTTTCAGTGTTTCAAATGCTTTTTGGCAGGTTAGGTCCCACTGTAGGGGTTGTCCTGGGTGGGGTTTCATTCCTGGACTCCCTGTCTTTAGGAGGTCTGTCATGGGTTTGGCAATCCTCACAAAGGAGGGGATGAATTGTCAGTAGAAGTTTGCAAACAAAGAAGCTTTGTAGCTGTCTGCGAGTATGAGGGGGCTGCCAGCCCAGAATGGCTTGTACCTTGGCTGGGTTCATCTCTATGCCCTCATTGGAGACTCGGTAGCCCAGGTAGTCCAACTGTGCACGATGAAATCCACATTTCATCAGCTTGACATACAGGTTTGCTGCTAGAAGGTTTTCTAGTACCTGGTGGCCTAGGGTTATGTGGTCGTCCATGGTCTCAGTGTAGATGAAAATGTTGGCCAAGTAGACAAGAACCCCCTTATAAAGATGTCTGTGTAGCACCTCATTTATTAACTGCGGGGGGGGGCTGTAGGCATGACCTTGAATTGGAAGCTCCCTAGGGGGCACTTGAACGTTGTTTTCCATTCATCTCCCTCCCTGATGCGAACTCAATAGTATGCTTCTCTGAGATCTAATTTGGTAAAGACCTTCCCTTTGACCAGGTGGGATAGCATGTCCTTCATGAGCGGGAGGCGGTATAGATTGTGTACACACAGTCCATTGATCGCTCTAAAGTCCACACATAATCTCATAGTTCCATCTTTTTTTTCTTTGAACAGGACTGGGGCTACAACCCGTGATTTGGCTGGCTTGATGAACTCTCTTGCTACGTTTTTGTCTATATATTTGCATATATATATATATA